TTTTTGCCCACCAAAAACCGACCAAATATTATTCCAGGGTACCTTCACATTCGACCAAATATTATTCCAGGGTACCTTCACATTCCTACTTTATTATTCCACGGTACCATCGACCCACACCAACACCAACATGTTTTTAATATTCCGAAAAACAAAAATATTCTGAAAAATTATTCCTGGAGGTGACCCCACCCTGGAATAATTTACGACGGGAGGGCCCATAGCTATATAATGACCGATCCGGGATTCGATCAAGCTCACAAACTTGAAAGAACAATTGCTGATGGTTTTACTCGTGATGAATGATATTTGGTATTCGTTATTGTCTCTTATTGTCATCCTGTACTGGCAGGTGTTGCTTTCTCGGGGTCAAGCCTGAGATCTTCAAGCCTGGTTTTCCACAACCGCATTGTGTTCGTCAGACTGATTCTTGCTGAGGACAAGATTTACACAGTCTCACAATGTCAGTTGACCCACACATTCGCGTCTTGAGCATAAGAACATACCAATTGCATGAAAATGCTCACATGTATTCTTGGTTCGCCAAAATGCACGAAAGCCAGCCAACCAATCAGACCTGCTAAACCAGACAAGGGGCATTGCTGCCCGGACAGAGCTTTGCACGTGTGCAGGCTTTCAAGCATCATAGAACATCCCAATCAGCAGTCCCTTGCAACCTGCTTGAAAGGAAAATATTGAATCAAAATGAATCAAACACAATCAAACGACTTACAAATGAAAAAAGTGTCCATTCCACACGATTAAAACAATACACGCCATTTTCACACCTGAAAACTCATCGTTTCCGCGTCAACGTCCGCCCCGTCCCAAGCCGCTCACCTGCATGGCGCCCAGCCATGAAGCGGCCGAGTCTTTGGGCGCAAAGAGGTCCACCCAAACGCTCCCGTAAACGGCGATGCCTGCTGCGGCATGATTGGAAGATGGTGGTGGATTATATAGTCTCCAAAACTGCTTTGAATAGTTGTGACATGTTGTGACTTCAAGGTGGTCAGGTGCAAAACTCGCCTTTGAGATAGTTTGGTTCACGATCCCACAAACCAGAGACACAGACACAGTCGACTTTCCAGCAGTTGTAGACAAGTAATTAGTCCCGCCATGTCCTGCCATCTTCTGTTGCTCTGTTGCTCCAGATAGTGGATCCTATCATTTAACAGTGGTTTGAAGTTTGAGGGTTCTAGATGGTGCAGAATCTCTTTGAGCAACAGTTGGAAACACTATGTCTTGTACATAAACACCTGCCGAAGTCATGCAGTACAGAACTCTTCCGAGCCAGCATAGTTCTTCTCTGCGCAACTAACCAGTCTCACTCGGTCTTTGAAAAGAAAAGGACTGGTCTGTTTACTCAGCACGGAAAGACTTTGCATCATCCATCATTTCACAAAAGCTCACTGACCGCCCGCCTGCGTGGCAAACGCCAGAAACAGCCCTGGCGAAACCGGACAGCTACACGCACGTGGTGCAAGCGTGACTCGAAGCGGTGTCCTGTGCATTGGTTCAATTTATGTTTCACTGGGTGGCACCCCAAAACAGTCGAACTACGCTGTCATTCCCCCAAAGTTCTGCATTATAAGATTCAAATTAGGAACAAGTGCCACGCTAGTAGTAACAGGTGCCTTACTAGTAGTAACAAGAAGCTATTAAATATAGTTAAATAACTACTCACTAGTCGACTAGAGGTGAAATCCCTTCTCTCGCTCGAGTAGTCATTTTGTCAATGATCAAACTGTATCAAACTGGTTCACATGATTCACACGAAAAGTTCGACGGGTTTCTGAGTGTTCGCTAAACTTGCCATTGTCCAAATGGTGGTTTTACTTGACTTGAAAGTGGCATTAACGTTCCCTCTGACTTTGACCATGTACACGGCGTTTGCAGAGACACCTGCGAGCAAAGCAGAAATACATCGCCGATCTTCCAGGATCCCACGAAGAGCCTGCTATGACAATGGTCCCTTATCACGATGCTTAAAAGACACACATGCTAGTAGTAACAAGTGCCACGCTACTAGGAACAAGTGCATCGCTAGTAGTAACAAGTGCCTTACTAGTAACAATAAAGCTACTAGGAACAACCAAAAGGGCAAATCTCATGTGAAACACTGGGACCTCATCTGGGTCAGGTTCACTCTTGGCACTGCTGGTGTTTTGGGACCACCTAGTTCACCACCCATGGCTCCATGTCGGCTGTCCAAAAGCAGGTTCACCCCATGGTCATTCATTTTCCCTTTTACATACCTCTGCTTCCTTTTTCGCCGAGCCATGCCCTCGGTGCGTACCTCAGGACTCAGGTGATTGGAAAACTCCCCCTCATCCCCCTCTCCTCCGCCCGTCTCCACTCCGCTACACTCCGCTACGTCTCCTGGAGATCACCATCATGTGAAGGCCTTGCAGCTCCTCCCGACCACTGTGACTCTGGAGACGAGGAGGGCGATCCAGACAGACTCATGACGTCTACAGTGAGCTCTTGGGGAGATGAGCTTTTGGGGAGTGGTTTGAAGATTCTCATTAGACGCCTCATGACTGACAAGTATTATTGTATATTATTCGGCGCCCGCATGTGCCCGCTGAACCCTGCCAGCTGATTGCCTGTGCGTCCAGTCTTTTCACCTTTCCGTTTTGGAAAAATGCCCAGTCCACCTGAGGATGAAATTCCAGCAGTCCCGCAAACCGCTCTATATAGATTCTAGATGTGCATGCCTGCAAAGGGGTCATCCACTTTGAACAAAACTCAAGAGTCCGCTGACCCCGGTCTAGGACGATGAACGTGAACATGAGCGGAGCGGGACCGTGTTCCTGACAGGGACTCCGGCCAGTGGTGGCCGATGTCGGTGTGATGTCGGATTGCCAAAAACCTGCCAAACTTCATTTGACAAACATTTGACACATGTGGTGGCCGATGTGGTGGCCGATGTCGGATTGCCAAACATTTGACATGTGTAAATTCTTTACTCGTTGCTGACCGTTGAGATGAATTTCCCGGGAAAAGCGTTGCCCAGGATGCGGCCTGGGGGGTCGATCCCCGACGAGTTTGTTTGCAGTAGGAGCCAAATATCACTGTATAAACACCAATGTCTGCAAGCAAAAAAACACGGTCTTCGCCAGGTGTGTTGCATTACGCGCTCAAAAGCAATGTCAATATCGAAGCTTTAGAACCTCGGCAAGCTCCAGTTGCGAGGTGCAAGAACCTCCCCGCAAAACCCACTCGTGAACCCAACGTACCGCCGGCGACCCCCTTCCCAACAAAGCATGCAGGACGGTTTGAGGCAGGTGAGAAGGTTGGTAACCAGGACATCTACCCAGGTGCAAAGGGGAAGCTCCTCCAAATTCCCCTAGAACCCAGGTTGTTTGCGACAGCCATAGTCCGCGTCCTTGGGGTCTTTCTCCTGCAGCATTGGGGCAAAGGTCAGGAGGAGGACTCCGAGCATATTTCCAACCTCAGAGCATCCAAAGCGTGAAACGCAGCCCGGAAGTGCTAGGGCGACGGTTCATAGGATGGATATAGTAGGAGCCTCTATTCTCACTAGTGACGACACTCGACCAAGCTCCAGAAGTGAGTGACATCGTTCCATCACCAAGAACGACCAATCCAAAAGCTGCAAGAAAGGTTTGAATTGCATGCCTTGACTAGTGCATTTGTGCTTGCGCTTGAGCCACGTTATGCACGTCTAAGACCAGGGCCAAGCAAACTAGCAGGACAGTCTTCACCTACATCAGCACACGGGGCGAGGCGGATCTGAAACGTAGGGAACACAAAGAATGTCGACACGGGAGACTGGCAGCCGAGTCTGCTTCCCTTGCAAAACGGCACCTTGCAGCAGCGCAGAAACCATGGAATCAGTGGAGATGCTAGTGGTAGCATCACATATTCCTGGGCTGTTCAAGAGTCAAGTGAGGTTGATGTTCTGGACCCAATAAGGGCCTCCAGACCTGCTTGTTTGGAGACTTTTTTCTCGGGGCACTTTTCCCGTTGACATTCCAGAACAATTTCCAAAACCCAAACAAAACAAATAATGCGAAGGCAAAAACATCCGTACGGATTGGAAACCGCACCCTCTTTTGCAGGTTCTCATGTCAGATTCATTGGTAAACGCAGTGCTTTGTCATGCGTTTTGCCTAAATAGAAAGGGCTTTTTCGCGACACCTCAAGTTGCCTGTTTTTTGTGTAACTAGCTGTCCCCAGTCAGGCTCCGAGTGCAAGTCTTTTTCATCGATGCCATTGTCGAGCAAATCAGCGGCGGCGCACCCATCCGACATGGAGCTGCTGCAACTACGCAACAAACGCCAACTCAACACCAACAGTCACCAACAGAAAAGGACTTAGTTTCTGTTTTTCGAAAAAGAAAACCTCGACCACACATTGCACCAAAGTGTGAACAACGAAAAACGAGTTTCTAACACCTGCTCCCAGTTTACCCAGCCACGATCTGAACCCAAACCTGTTTCGTGAACAAAAGAAACTCAAGGGTCAGAACAATCACGAGGTAAGCCGTCTACGTACTGATCTAAAGAGAAAGGGCTGACGCACCACAAAGGAAGAAAGCACAAAAACGAGGAGGACAAGGAACACCCGACAACCGAAACAACAAAACTAAAGCACACACCGTGGCTACGTCTTGAGCCTTCATGCTCATGAGACGTATGTGAAAAACAACGAAATTACAGCACCCCCCCATGTTTTCTGTTTTGGGGCCCCCGTTTACGCTATTGCTTCAACTTGGTTACAGTATCTTGCGATATGCTCTTACGCAATGCATTGACATGCCATAACATTTGGCTCAAGGTATGTGCGTGTGAAAACAGCCGCTCGATCGCCTTCGCTCACTCGCTCTTGTGAACCTTGTTGGACTGTGAGTTGAATCCAGGGATACTATGCATTACACGCTCCACTGCGGGGAATTTAACCCTCACCCCCCCCCCCCCCCCCCCACCATGCGATGGCATGACCAAGCGTCGTGGGGTCCAAAAATGTCAGAAAAGCGGGTCCGGATTTCAGTCCCTAGGCAAAAACATGGCTTGTCCGCCCGTATTCAAATTCCCAGGTTGAAGGTTGTGAGGTCATCTGAGCATCTGGCATCTGGGCAATGCTTGCTGAAAATGAATGGTTGGCATTTAGCAAAACCAACTCGGGGAGGTCGCTGCAACTGTCACCTTAAAAAAGATGTTGATCAGGTGGGCCTTCGAGGCTTTCCTGAATGTCCGCTTGTTTATACACGAGTCCTTTGCTAGTTGATGATCTTTCAAAACAAAAAGCGAGTAAAGAGAAAATGTCTCTCTCTCTCTCTCACTGGTGGGCGTTGTCAGGAGCGTAACTGCACACTTGGACTACTTAAGGGGCCCTTGACATAGCTGGTTCTGTTTCCTCACCAATCCAAGTCTCCAGGGCATTCACAAAGCCCACGGTCTCGGCAGGTCGGGAGTCGGGCCACAAAACGTATGGGCCAAAAATGGCAAGTAGTCTAGAAATGTCTAGAAGTGATTCTCTCGGCAATTGTAGCTATAGAATTGAATCGTCCGAACGTGATGATCCTTCTCCTAAAAGTGGGCCGTCCCAAAAAATGGCCACCTTTGGGTAGACAGGGTATTAAGGATACATGTTGGCAGTTTCATTCACGGCAAGAAATAACAGGAGAGGTAAAACCCCATCTGGTCCAGGGTACAAACCACCTGCTGTCGATCTAAACTTAAAACCTGCGAATTTGGACCATATGTCCGCTGCCAAGGTTCCAACCGAGCCCGATTCTTCACCCGAATTGGAGGATCTCTTGCTGGTGAGCAGCTAGCAGCTAGTCACTAGTCCAAACTGAGTTATATCGAGTAAAATGATTCTACAGTACTCCACCAAGCTTGTTTACATGTAGTCTTCCAACCTCTAGATCTTAAATATATTTTGTTTTCCCTTTTGTGAGAACAGCCTTCCACACAGCCCAGCCCCGGGAGCGTCCGGCTTCGACCACGAACCGCTCCTCAGTGGTAAGCCGCATGTCCTTGGCGAGGAAACGCTCAAAGGCCGCCAAGGCCCCTGCAGTGGGCTGCTCGGAGGAAGAAAGCTCGCATCCATCAAGGCTCTGTTTTGGTACGGTACATTCCTTTTCTGTGGTAGGTATTGGGTAGGTAGAATCAATAGAAATTGGTGTATGCGTGTATATGTGTATAATATATACTTAGGTGTACAGTTACATATACATGTGTATATACATTTGTGTAGATATATATATAATATATACAGTATATATATATACACGGTACACATAGTTCAAGGATTGAATTGCTTGATCAAATTCTTTGCGATCTGCTTCGGGATCGCCAATGGACTCGGGGTGTCTCAAGATTGGAGTGTGCCCCAAAAAGCCATAACACTTATGGCTAACATAACATATAACATATAACACAGTTATAAGATTAATAAGGTATAAATGTGTTATATGTTGTTGGTTTGGTCGACCAAGGGCTCCCACTCCAACCGCGCTCCTCAAGCTACCAGGAGGGGTGGTTAGGCGTTATGCATCATATGATATCGATATCTGCCTGAGTCGAACTGGGCACAGGCAGAGAAGCCAGTGAAGAGCAACAAATACTTCAGAGGTGTTTCCATGGCGTCGATGCAGGAAATGTTGTGGTGCAGCGGTGAAGGCACAAACATACCCTGGTAAGAATTCCAAGCTAAAGCTTGGGCAAAACTGAGTGCTGTCTTCTTAGTGCTTGGATTGAAGGACTGAAGATTTGCTTATTTGATCAAGTTTGGTCTGAAGTTTCTCTTTCGCCCTTGTACAGCCTTCTTTTTTTCAACACTGGAACCTCGTTGATCAATTGATCAACAGTAACAGAAATATCAAAAATTCACAGAAACTCCATTCGCTTGCACAGTTCTACGTGTCCGTCGGATGAAACTGTGCGGCAGAGGCAGAACCACTCGAAGTTCACCAAGGTTTCTATGAAGGCCCTCCCACTCCTTCATCCAGTCTGGTTCCATGTACACCTCCAGGTCCGACCCAAACTTCGTCACCAGGGTCGGGTGGTTCGTGGGAAAATTGCCTAAAGCCTAAAGATGAATCCACGGTGTCTACAAGCGCAGCGATGTTGCCGGCTTCCATGACATCTAAAGCCCAATCATGAGACCGTGAAAGACTCGATCTAAAGACTTCTTGCATTTCAACCACGGATATATCCACAAACACCCACATCCCATGTAATTATTGTTGGCATCTTTGTGCCTTCGACGCATGGTTCAGGATGGCTCCCAGTTTACACAACCTCAGGGGTACCATAGTACCATACAGTATGTTATGGTGAGTTACAGTGTGTATATATATATATATATGTTGTTCTCTTCCGAGAACGTTCATTCACAAATGAAGCAAGTACAGTGCAGGCAGCTGAAGTGTGACACCATGTATAAATTGCACCCTCGTGGAGGGTCATCTACCTTGAACTAGTGGTACTACTTGTAGTGGGCTTCTCCGTATCTTCCTTCCGCCTTTCACTCCTCAAGCCGGGGCAACTCAGATTTTTCCGGCATTCTCTGGGGCAGCCTTGGCTGATAAGCATGTATTGCAGCTTTGAGTTCAACCTGTATGAGGAGTTGGCGTTTGCAGTGCGAGCCACCGAGCTGAACATCAACAGATGGTGGTAAACTACAGGTCCCCCTACTTACCGTGTGCGTACCTGGGAGCTTGGATCGTGTCTAGCATGAAGCTGTGTTGAAACCAGGTGCAGGAAGGAAACAAGGGTAGATTATATTTGGGGTGGGTGATAGGTGAGGGCAAATGATGCCTTTTCAAACCCAGTTGAACCAGGAAGTGACAATGGCCCTTTAGATGATTCTAAGTGTGGCCCGTTTCACCGTGGAGCAATGCCCTCACACTCAGCTCCCTGAAGCCCTGCTGTTTGTCTGCCATGCCCACCATGTCTGACTCTTCGATGCCGCGCACACAATGCATGGTATGTGAGATGCGATAGAAACAAAGACCTTGTTTCCCAATCGATTTGGTGAGAGCTGGTGCACAGATCTGGCTTGCATGCCCTCATGCTCATCAGCGCTTGCATCACATGAATTGAGGCCTGATTCTCGCCGGTTCATCCAAAGCAACTGGCACGTGCCATCGCTTTCCACCGTTCCACCGTGCCTTCGCTTTTGCACGGGTCACTCAAGTCACTTCGGCTTCTCCGGGTGACTCTCTGGGTGATCCGAAGAGGCCACCGCCTGGCTCACGGTGTCCAACTTCCTCAGGATTGGTCGGAGAAGTGCTACCCGATTGGCACGTATCCGAAAGAAAAAAAACGACTGCTGAGGAGCAGTCCATCGTCAGCTATTTAATGGAGACAATGCAACGATGATTGATTGAGCATTGCTTGGGCTGCTTAGGGATCCTTTCATGTTTGGTTGAAATGTGTGAGTATTGGGAGGTCCTCAACCGCGACTTGAATGACCATCCCTAGAAAGGAATCTCGGAAGCTCTATCTTCTGATCTCTAGCAAGTGGGTTTTGTGGATCTTACAATTACCAGCCGCAACAAGTGCCCTGCTGTGCACTTGCTCCAGGCCCGCACTTTTCGATCTCCTCCAGCTTCTCTGCCAGCACCTGATGGATCCCGGAGGCTCTCTCAATGCTGCATCACCACGGATTCTTCAACTCGAGGGTAGACCAGTAGATGGGTTGGCCCAGTGATGCAGTAGACTACGCACGTGAATTGAGCACCCAACAAGCTTTCCCGTGCGCCAAGCACGTACAGGAACCCTAATCGGTCCGGTATGTCGGTTGACCCTTGAAGGTCAGGAAACGTCCTTGCTCCTAGTAGCGATGCCCTTTGCTCCTAGTAGCGTCCTTGCTCCTAGTGGCGATGCCAGGAGCTACTAGTAGCATCCTTGCTCCGGGAAACGCTTCTCCTTTCTGTTTCCTCCCGGTGTCCTTCACCCAGCCTTCTCCTGCCCACTCAACGGGCACTTTTCCGAGCAATGGCCCCAGGCAGAGCGGTCCTTGCGTCGTTGTCCCGGTTTGGCCCGTTGGAGCGATGACATGCCGTTTGTCAATGTTACCTAGTAGCTTCTTGTTACTAGTAGCGTCCTTGTTACTACTAGTAAGGCACTTGTTACTAGAAGCGATGCACTTGTTACTAGAAGCGATGTATCTAGACTGTTTTACCTTGCCTATCTTCTCCTTTTGGGTCGGTGATAGGGAAGACACATGCAGCCTTCATCCAGCTATATCCGCAACCCAAGTTTCTGCTGTTTCTCATAGTTGCTCCGTCAGACGAAACTCCTGGTGTTTCTCTGACCCACCGGAGGGAGCTTTGAAGGTGCACCAAGAATCCGGGGGACGGAATTCTACATCGAATGGACCTGATGACTGGTAGCAAAGCAATGACTCGTTAAGTCATCCCTTTTCAACTCTTGTTCAAGCTGCAGGAGAGTCACCAAGTGTCTGGAAAGAGAGGTCGCGGCCGGAGGGCTTGAAAATGATGGAAGGTGAGGAAGTCAACTGTAGAACAAGACAGGTGGTGCAGGAGAACTCTTTTTCAACAGGAGGGTGTTCTTCCAAGTGGTCCTGCAGAGCACCGCGCATGGGTTGTTGAACGATCGCATCACATTGTCAGGGAGTATCTCAAGCCAGTCTGGCCATGTTGGATCCATCTCTTAACTATACTGAAGAAAAGTGCATGAAAGCACGGCAAAATAAATCTCCCAACAGTGGAAAAGGACTACCCTGCTACAGCCATCCATAATGTCCCATCCACCATGAAATGAGGTCAGAAGATTGGGCCAGATTGGGGATCATATGTTTTTTATATGATGAATCATAGACCATAGATCTGTTTACCCCACCTTGGAAGAACATGTCCCGCTGCAATCTGAACGGCTTCGATCAGTTTACACTGGCATGTTCAGTTGTGACTTCTTATATCTCTAGGCCCTGACATCAAAGCACCACCCACCTAGCTGCCACATACACCCTCTTCCCAACAGGCCTTTTTTGTCCAGCACCAGCCGTTGACCCCATAGGGGCCACCCTGGGGTCAACGTCGAGTGTCACTAGACCCAAGCCGGAGAACTTCCCATGGTGTGTTTCAGCAAATCTGACAACGCTCGTGTGGTGGCAAACCGACTGACTTGAATTTGGGACTGGCAGTCAAACACCATGGCTCTCTAAGGAAATGGCCTTCATGGCTCTCTGTCTCATTCGATTGGGCTCTCATTCTTTCCAACAAGCCCGACGAGCTGCCCATAGAAAGTGTTCCCCTTCCCAACATGACTGCATGGAGACAAATAGAGAATTCGCCAGTGTGCCCATTAAAACCTGTTAGTTTTTTTAGTGAAGAGAAAAAGACATATGAGCTAAAGATTTTGTTTGTAAATGATCATGTTCACCCCACCAGACGCAGAATCGTTGTTTGCGTTCCCCTCTTTTCTGTGTCCATCCCAGTCGACCCTCGGCTGCGTGAATCTCGGACTACAAAACACGACAAAACACTTTTCCAAAGCGCCAAAGCTAGCTTGGGGTAACTGCCCTGCCACTCAAAGTCCTTCCACTATGCGCAGTACACGAGGGTAGATATATGCAACCCACATTGACATTCCCGTTGGGATCTTGGCTGTGAAGTTCATTGGTCAGCTTTGCCCCGCGCCGATCTCGATTTGCCCACCTGCTCGATGCAGTGGGATCCTTCATCACGCGGATCGACCTCACATATTTGTTCTCTGGAGCATCCTGTGGGTTGCATCGATTCCTCCAAAGTAAAGTCAAGGTATTTGTCTGGGAGAAGCTATGGATGCGAAGTTGGAATGGCAGAATTACCAAAGGGGCGGAGAAGCCTGACAATCTTCACTGAACAGAACCAGGGCGACCGCACACTGTATCCAAAAGGAGTCCAAATTTACTCTCAGCCATCTACTGTCCATAATAGTATCAAATACATTGTCTATTCTTCAGCCAGGGATAGCTCAGGACCTGCTGTGGTAGATACAAATGAACAGCATGAAAGTCTGTATGCTTCGCAGGTGGTGCAGGATGTTCTGTTGCAAGACGGTGGTAAGTTTCCCAGTCACCCTCAGTGTCAAGGTTTCGCCAAAATTCACTATCTGCGGAGAACGCCCATTCACTCGAGCCCAAAGCTTTGTGGCTGATGTTTGTCATCTACTCAGGGCCACCATGGCCAGCTTCTTATTGTCCAAGAAACCCTTGGCTCCTGAAACTGACGGGCCAGCCAAAATGTCCAAACGAATCAAAAGAAATGTTGTTAACCAACCGTTAACAACCAACCTGCCGGCAATGACCACCTGCTGGCAGTGAGAATGAGATTTGCTAAAACTAATAATCAAACCAAACACCTGCCCCGTGCAAAGCAGGGCCCCAAGTTCTCCCTTGGATCCCAATTGCCACACGCACGGAATCAGGGCAACAAACACTACTGCAATCCGTCCATACATCTTATCGTAGTTATCTCAAAGATTTCAAAGCACCCAAAACCAACTGCCAAAAACACACCTTCCTGCCAATCCATTAAAGAAATGCTGGAAACCCCAAAGACACACGCCACGAGATCTTGAGATCCACTTGGCCCAAGCCACGCCGAAGATGCACATGACCCCCACGGGCGCCGCAGCCGTCAGCCTCGGAGGTTCCAGAACGAGGAGGCCAGGTGTTTTCAATGCACTCGGCCAGGAGCTCCGCGAATTGCAGGGTGATGCGCTCTGCCTTTCCAAGTTCTTCTTGCCTAGATGCTCCGAATGTTGGATCGTCCTATTCATTCTGGACAGTCGGGCCAAAGCTCATAGGTCCTAGGAGCCCCTGCCATGCTTCAGCCTGTGGCAGTCAGGCATGTCAAGCAATGCCCAAAGCTCTGGGTGTCGGTTCCAGCTACCCTTTTGGATACTCAGTAGGCAGCCAAAGGTGTACCAAAATGTTGACGCATAACAGAGCCCAAAGCTTCTTCCCAACAGAATTGTCCAACTTCAACAGCCCCGGGTGTGCTTTTACGACTGTTTGTTTGGGGAGTGGATCGACAAATCTTGCACCCGTGGCCCATGACTATCTTTCTTACAGCTTCGTTTCCAATGAATTATGCCAAGAAAAGTTGTCTGAGGTTCTGCAAATAGACTGCCTAACTCTCGCTTGCTGGAGCCTTTCCAGTCTTCACAGTGACGCAGCTCTCGCTTGTGATGCCTCACAGGCTTGTCAGGCTTGGCCAGCTCATTCTAAAGAACCATTCACCCGACCATAACTCTTGACTTTGTGCAGGTCAAGATATCCCCTTTCCGAATCTCACAATGTTCTGGCCCATATGCTTACTTCAAACAGTCTCCAAACCTGCAAGAGCTCTACATAGTTTCAATGAAGATATGATGAACGCAATAGTGTCCATTCTGAGGGTGACAGCGAACCTTTGAACACATGACCTTCAGAAGGAGCTTTGACATACTTTGGATCCAGGACAGCGACCGGGTGTTCTACAGAATTTCATAGTGTTTCTGTGTGTTTCTCTGTGTGTGTGTGGCTGATTGATCACAGGCAACAGCAGCCACGGCCGACGGCCTTCCCTACTCACTCTAGTGACTCTCGTCTCGTCCCCCATCGACTTGGAAGGCCACTGCACCGGGTTTTTCTGAGGCACTCCATGGCACTCCCCTTTTCTCCTTCCAGCTCACCGACGTGTCCAACGACATGCGGTGAACAGCATGGGGTCCTGCGCCAAACCCTCCCGCACCCCCTCGCGGCCTGGCGCTCCGCCCGACCGCTCTGACCTCGGTCTCCGTGGCCGACCCGAAGGTGACTGGACTAAGTTGATTCATTGATGCATTGGGATCCAATTTGCCATTCGCCGTTGTATCCTCAAATCGAACTGTCGTGTCTCGGCAAATGGCTTGCGTGTCATCTGCTGGCCACCCGATGATTCTGGAAAACGATCTTCTCAGGACAGCAACAAGACATTCTTCAGAACATACATTTGATTTCCTAAGTCTTAGAAAGCTGCCATTGGGTGTTCCACGAGTACAACAGCTGGTATTACTTGCTGTGCTGGTATACTATGCATGACTGGTGGCTAGGTCGGCAAGGGCGCTTCTCGCTTACGCGAACCTTGCACGAAAATGTTCATACTTCCATGATCTGAATTGAACGGTTGGGGAAATGTTGAAGTATGAATGGTTGTCCAGGGCTCGAGTTTGATGCAAGCCGTGTGGCGCCGTCTTCGGGTGCTTCTTCGAGCTATTTCCCTCCTGAGTCGTCTCTCGCGCAAAGAAACACGTCAAAAGTGACGCCGCCTCAAAGTAAATGTTTTCGTAGCAAAGAATGCAAGTGGATTCGACCCAAGAAAATCGGTCGATGGTTCTGCACTTTGGTTTGCAGGGCACACACGTCTGCATCATTCCAACCAAAGTGCCAATGAAAGAATTACTTTACCAAATGGGCGCAGCCAGCTATGCCCTGGGTGATTCCAAACTGCAACAGAGTAAGGTGGCATTAACATGTGCAGTGCAGTCTCACAACCCCTGAATGACTTGACCCGTGAAAGATGAGACGTATGTCACATGAGAAGACGACTATATACGCGAAGTGAGCACGAATCACACATCTTCAATCACCAAGTTGGGTGGCTAAGGTAAGGGTCATCAAGGGGCCTTGACCCAATCGAGTCATGCCCTTTGGCTAAGCCAGCCAAGTGGCCCAGTGCCGAACGATGTTCTCTCCAAGGCCTGGACAGGCAGCGATCTCTTTGTGCAAGAGAAGGTCTACCCCAATGATGTTGGACTGTTGGACCTAGTATCGATGCTCTTTGTTACTATATAGTAGCATCCTTAAGGATGCTAGTAGAAATGCCCTTTGTTACTAGTAGCTTCTTGGGTTTCTTTATGCTTCTTTTTGGATCATATCCAGAATTGAACACTGGAGCAGTCCTTAGCGACTCTTATGATCAGGATACGGATCACTACGTTCTCTTTCTTCGGCTGCTCCACCAGCTGGTCACCATCTTTAGACTGTCGACTGGTGACCAGAGTCAAATCCCACTGCAGCACTTGCGTCTCTATCTTGTGTGCATCTGGATGTTCAACAAACATCACTAGCGACATCTGTCAATCCGAATCCAAGAACCCCTCCAGTCAAACGACCAACAAAAATAAATTCCAGTTCAACCGTGCAGTCTCCCCTGATTTCATCACTTGGACTCACCCCCTATTGAAAACGAGCCTTTCCCATCACCCAAAACAGGAGGCCTTTGGTGGCCGACCAGACTTCGTGTCCAGCCTGACAGCATGAAGGAGTTACAAACAAATGAGACAATTGCACTGTTGGTTGTGTCACGTCGGCTGTCAATTGTCAGACTAAAGCATGTACATAGGGCTGTTGGGTGTGTGTGTGTGTTGATTGTCAAAACTGCAGAAGTGCAAAGGACGAGCTTGACCACTCATACGACCTCTGAGCTAGTAAAAATATATAGTAAGTAGAGGGAATGTCAGAATTTCATTGCAAAATACAATCATGATCGATCATGTTTGTTGATGAGACCTGGAGCGTCCGGTTGCTAGTACACGCGGTTTGGGATGTTTGCTCACATGGCATTATCCTGCTTTTTCGGGCCCCTCCAAACACCAGTAGCCTCGAACAATTATATAAGTTGAATTGAGACATTTACTGACTGTAAACACCTTGTTGACATGAAACACCCCAATTTCCGTCCAACCAGGACCTGTTGAGGGCTTCCGAAAAGGAAACGCTGATGAGTTTTCTTACAGCACTCATTGGATCCCTTAGAAGCCCCCGACAGGAAAGCAGTTCTTAGGCTTAGGCCATCAATCTCGTAACATGAAAGACGAGGATGAAATTGATGAGTCTTGTTGGTTCCTTCTTTCCTGCTCTTGGAATTACACCGCCAGGCCAAGAGCAGGGGCCCCAGATCCAAGAAGGGCCCAAGTGATCCCAGGCGAGCCACTGTGCCCCATCGGTTAGCCCTTGATTTGTGAGCCAATGTTGCCCATCGTTGTGTGTGTGACCGTTGGTGATATGCGCTATGGCAGGAAGCCCATCCCAGTGAACAGCAACATACACCAACACAAATGGATCAAGCCAATCAGGACTGGTCTGGTAGTTCTACAGTTTCTGCTGATCTGACTCCACAACCCAAAACCTTTCATCTAGGGATAGTGCTGGATCCGTTTCATGTCTGGAGCAGAACCCCATCACGCGAATCACCTGGCACCCGTTCCATGTTCGGCCTCCGAGACCGTCTCGGCCACCTGGAAAAAAACCGTTTTTGCGCGGGCGGACTCGGAAGCAGCGCAAGGACCAGGAATGGTATGCCGTGGTCCCTTCACAGCCATGGTCTCCGAGCTTCCGATAGTTGAAGGGCTTCTTGATGCTCAAAAGTCGTAGGATGTCCCCCAATGTCCTCTGACGTGCCTCCAATCGGAAAGACACTGCCTACCTGATATCACTGATATAGTTCATAGTTCGGGGGATTTGTCACTGGCACCCCCAAATTACCCAGGCCACACCGAGAAGCAGTATGTGGGCATGCAAACCGATCGCCTGGTCAAGCACACACGTACCGTAAACCAGTTGGTTCAAAAGAATTACAAAGGTGCAAAGTCTCTTGGAAAGAAGGACGGTTGACTGGGCATTAGTTGGAATCCCCTCTAGTCCCACCGTGTCATGGGCCACTCGCATGCTAAACTGTCCAGCCAAGTGACTGACGAGGACGCGTTCCTGAGCACAAAGCTGGAGTGAGAGCTATTCCTTTTCAGTACCCTTGGTGGTGGTGCATCCATGTGAACAACAAATGGTGGAACAGTGGAACAGACTAAAGTCGATTCCTTATATAGCAACTTTAGCAGATTCTAAGAGAGCTGAGCTTGACAAAATGCGATGAAAAATAGCTCGTGAAAAGCCTTACGAAGTACAGTAAGTGCACCACCGATTCGGTGAAATCCACGACTCGGGGCCCCCGAGTCCAAGCAAACGCCTCCAACCTACTAGCGATGGCCTCCAACCTAAGATGCTGAAAGCTCTTCGGACACTTAAGCGGTGGCTCCTTTCTCTTGCTCATCATCCAAATTGTTCCTTGACTCCCCACCTCATTGGCTTTCATTGGTGGAGAATGATGTGTAGATGTTTCGGTCACGGGCCCTAAAGAATCAAAAAAGAATGGCAGCGTAGTGCATAACCTATCTCGTTTTAGCGCATCCCCAATCTCCTCCTGCCAGGCAGGACAGGGATGTTCTTCCAAACAATGTGTCAAGTTGTAGACTTCTCTACGAAAGTGCAAATTCAAGTGATTGCTCACATGGGTCCGTTGATTTGCCATGGGTACAAGACTTTGCACGCGAGAAAGCAACGAGGCTCTTTCGAACTGTCCTCGTATACAAGCCCCTCCTCTAGCCCGCACTTCATGGACACCTCTCAACTCATCAATCCTCCCATTCCAACCCTCCATTTTTTGAGGTCCATCCATCCATCCACATGAATCCAATTGCTACATTAAACCCCCTTCTTCCAGCGCCGAGCTTCTCCACCTTCTTCCAGGCCTGGTCCATCCAGCCTTGGTCCAGATCAATGGAGTCTCAAGGTTCTCATGGGCACTGGAGGATTCAGAGGGAAAAACCTCTTCATACTAAGAAGCATTGCGGGTGCTTCATGGTGCTTCTTGCTGTATCATGTTTGAAGCGATCAGTGTTTGCCCATACCAAGCGATCAGTGTTTCTTTGCCACAGCGCTCGTCTCATTCTGCGTCTCGTTGGAGGCCTTGAGCCGGGTCTCCTCCAGTCTGGCCAGTGTGGGAAACTAAAAATACTAAAGGGGGCGATCGATCATCTACACCCCACCTGGTCCAAGACATGGAAACGAGCTGAAGCAAAGCTAAGCCATTAGAAAGTACACTCCCAAGTTGACTCCCAAGGGCTGGGATTCTAAGACCTCATCCTTCCAACAACTGGGTGTTTCATGTGTTTCAAATCACGGCCACTGTAGAAAGAATGGACAACTGCTTCTGCCATCTGCCACGCCTTGCTTTTGTTTGACCTGGCAGATCGCGGATCGTGCCGTCTCTTGAACCCCCGTGTTCGCTCCTGGTTTTTGGCCCGTCAGAAGGAGTAGAAATAGATAGATATATAGAAACAAATAGAAATAGAATGAAATAGACGGACTTTATTAAGGTGAAATAAAGACAACTACTGCGCTGTTACAGGTCGAACACCACTGACTCTATATAAATGTATATCCCTAAATAGGATAAGCTCAGTGAAGCCCTGCAGTCAATGATTTGGACCAAATGTATCAAAATCAAATCAGTCCCTATTGGGGCCAAAGTCTTGACCAAAACCCACAACTTGATTGTTCCCTATGCTACTGCAGTTACTGCACTGCAGTAGTTGAGCAGTAGAGAAAAACATAGGAACATGATACCGGCAACATCCGGCAACTACAATGCAGGGACCCCTGAAACCTCATTGTACACCTACAAAGCTGGGGTCCAATATGTTGTTGCCAGGGGGTCCACGTATGACACTGCAGAGGTTCTAGACCCCCCCTTGGTACCCGTGTAGGGTCCGGAATGTTGTTCCTCACCACATGTAAACTGCAACAAACCCACTCAAACAAAAGTAATTCTGTGAAATGTTGGTAATTATGAAAAGGTCTAAAATACCCCAAGCTCTCGGGTCTATAATGCTTGAAGCGACCATCCGAGACCCTACGCCCTGCAAACCCACCCACCCAAGACCTTTAGTAGTTGGGGGTATGGAAAATGGCCAAGCCAACAAAGGCTTGCTTCGCCTCGCCTCGCCACCGGAGCTTTCTATCGCCGGGTCCAAACCACCGAAAAACAAAATGAAAAAAAGAAGGATTGATTTCGGAGCAAAGTGAGACCGTACCGTCTGAGTGCCCCTGCTCATTCACCAGCTGGTGCCTTGTTTGGACCATGGCCAAACTCCTGGACTTCGCCCCAAACGCAGCTTTGTGTCCAAAAACTGGAAATATAGTATGAGTTGACCCAACAAGCACTTCTCATCAGGGCTTGGGCGACACTTGAAACATCCACCTTTGATGGTTTGGACCTTTTTGCCCTCTGGTGCGGTTCTTGCATGTTTCCCCATGTGTTGAGGAGTTCTCTTCTGGCACAGTCGGCAGAGTCCCATCTTTGCAAACTTTAGGTCTGGCAGGTCTGGTGGCCACATCGCCTTAGTAGTAACAGGTGCCTTACTAGTAGTAACAAAGAAGCTACTAGGAACAAGTGCCTTACTACTAGCAACAATAAGAATTTCTCTGATCTTTCTCCTGGAGGCCGTCGCTCTGGACCATTGGAGGCCATTGCCATGAGCAATTCTCATCAAATTCTCATCCTTTTGGCCTTTTGACCGTGTCTGATTTGTTCAACACTCGGTTGCCACTTCACCGTCCTTGAGGGCGTGGCACCACACTCCTGGAACTGCGACCCATAGGTCCATTCTGCCGGAGTAAAGGAGATCAAGATCCAATGAAACCATGTGAAACTAGGTGAAACATCTCTAACCTTAAAAATCAGCTGTCCACTCCCCAAATCGCTCCCAGTATTCCAGAGTCCGAGTTCGGCTTAGTGTACAGTAGAGATCACGGAGCGGGTATGACATGGGCAAACCACCTTCCACCACTTAAAATCAACGGCCAAGCGACTAGAGCGAAAATGGCTCAGCGGATCTCCCCACTTTGAGCGGGTGACCATTGTGCGAATCAAAACCTTGACGAGGAGCGGGTGGAAAAAAAGTGATCGATCGAGAACATCGTCCTCCTGTAACAACAAGTGTATGCTGTCAAGAACCCCACAATCAGGTCGCACTTCTCTACAGACTTCAAGGATTAGGGCCTAATGCAAAGACTCAAGTTGAAGGTTGGTTCTGATGCAACCTTTGGGCTATGGCCTTGCCCGGCTTGCCCCTCATTTGAAACAAAATCTTCACACTTCCGGAAACATGTTTTATTTATGACATCCGTGCAGAGATGTGCGCTGCTCTCAAGAATCTGGAGCCCACAGAACTTGCTCCATGTTCAATTGGGATTGGCAAAATTGGCCAACCCTAGTACAAGGGAACTGAATATATGTCAACCTCATTTGGAGACAGACTCAACTCCTTTACCCTTCGCTGGAAAGAAAAACACCAGTCACGGTGTGACCCAACACTGGGTGAGGTTTTCCGTTCACCAACGCGGTCCTCGCGTGCGTTGAGCAGCAGTGGGAACGAAGCAAGGACGGCCTGCATGCTCCAAGGGCTCAGCCCGGGCATGTCCAAAGAATCAGTTCCAAGATCTTGGAGACTCAGTAAGGACTATAGAATGGGAACCCAGGAGATCCCCATGCCCCCAATGAGAGGACAAACGTAAATCAGTTAACTTAGTGGTGTTGGTTTGAGAAACTCAAACCGATTCCCTTCTTCAAATGGAAGAACAGAAGTCCAAGCACTCAGTACTTCGTATTTGAACTCAGAAGTAGCGAGTGTACTAGGTGCTCGTGGCCCATATGGTGGATGTCATGGACCGCGCTCACCTGTGGTACTGTGATTTCCACAGGACATTTGTCGAGGCAATGTCATGTGATGTAATAAATAAACATACTAGTAGGCTAGAAGCTACTGGGTTGGAGGTCATCGCTACTAGCTTGGAGGTCATCGCTACTAGGTTGGAAGCATCGCTACTAGGGTGGAGGCCTCTGTAAAGGAGACCTCTGAACCTGGTGAACCACGTTGTCAGGAACTCGTCGGTGGCTGTATCGGCCATCCACAAAACAAGTCAAGCGCATTTGGATCACTATTGTTTGATGTGTTTACTTGGGCAACCACTCTTGAATCCAGCTGCGGACGTGATCCTGGTCTCAAATGACCACTGAAGCTACGACTTGTGGGCCCCCAAAAGCCTGTGATATCTGGGATTCGCCCCATCTGAGCTCATCACCCAGATTTGCCGCGCCATGTCGGGGATTTTGGCTAGGTTGCCTCACGATGGGAGACAGTTTGACACTTTAGGAGTAAGATGTGGGGGGGGTGACAGGCAATCACTGGCTGATGCATTGTCCCGATGGTCAACAAAAAAATGTGAAACAACAGCAACAACAACAACCCTTACAGCATCACAGGTGTGTGAAGCTCTACAGTATCCATGCATACCTGTCCTACGCAGGCCAGCACCAACACCTGGAACAATTCCTACATCAACATCACCCACTTCACACCCCTCTCCTCCCTTCATCACGTGCAGAGACAGGCGAACCATGTCTAGTGAGGGAACATCCGACGGACGGTCTACAACTCGGCAACCAACCACGCTGCAGAGCCTGCGGTGGTTCTAGCTGCTTCCGGGATGGCACACGTAGAGAAAGCGGAATAAAGTGCTGTTTCAACGTCATAAACCTAGCCAAGAGCAAACTCCTCAGTCACCATGTCTGACCTGGCTCTTGAAAGACGAGTTGATGATGTGCGCTCTGAAAGAGAGCACCCATGAAAACATGCATGGCCGCTCGCTAATAGTATTCTGTGCAAGCACTGCGAGGCCTTCCTGACAACCCATCTCTGGAAGCCGTGCCACCGTTGTTGACATGCTATTGTTGGGAAACCTATTCCTAGATTCAGGAATGACTCATGCAACAGCTCTGGTGCTGGTTATGAAACGATCCCAGGCAGCACGGGGAGGGTAAGGTTGGAAAATTGGGCGGCTCAGCGCCCTCAGAAGTACAGGAGCCAAACGGAGCGGCGGGGACCTGGGCTCTGTACGGATTTAAGCTGACTCAACGTGCTACTAGAAGTGATTGGGACTATCAGGATAGGTTCTCTCTTTAGCCAAGGTGCAGGGAATTGTTATGTTTGTTGAAATTGAAAGGAAGTTCGTTCCATGTCGTTCCTCATTGACTGGGACTGCTGGAGTATCGCTGGACATGCCTTGTGAGCCACGTGCACCTGGTCCACCTCTGGGTTACTTACTTTGGAGTCATACATGGGCGGCCTGGTCAGGCTGTGGCACGTTATGGATGCAGGGGCCAGCACCCTCTGAATTCAGCACGAACGGAAATCTATTCCGGATTCTCAGATTCAACAACACAATAAAATATCATGTCCTCCAAACATACCCGTGCCGTACCCTAATCATTCTATTTGATCCCGATTATGGAGCAAGGCCAGGGATATGCCCGGTCAAAAATAATAATGTGTTCAACTGTGAACCACACCCTCCACAAAAATTGACAACTCCCTTTCCGCCCGGCCGGTCAGGAGTGATCACGCACATGTAGGCGTCTTTCTCGCTGCATATGCTACACGTCTCCAAGCTTCTCCAACAGCTTAGCTGTGGCAGTTGCTCAGCAAACTCACTAAGCCCTCTCAAAGAGACTTCAGCCAAATTAGTCAATCTAATGCGCGTTGAGCGCGCCTATGTCAAATCTTTTTGTGTGGGTTGAGGCCGATGGCTAGGTCGTTCTACCCAGGCCAAATGGTATTGCCAGGCCGATTGCCCTATATATCTCTTTTGAGAGTTCCCACAGGGCCCCACTTGAGGCTCGGAATGGTGGGGCGCATACGGGTCACGGTGGGGAGAACGCCCAATGTGATTGGATTGCCTGTTTGAAGGAGTATGGACTAGTGACTAGTGACTTTGCTAACAGTGAACTTCCACAAAATATCATAAAATCCACCCCCTGCCGACTTTCCCAAATGAATATATATATATATTATATATATATATAACTGGAGGATCAAGCAAAAAACAGCTCCGGGTGATATCGATGTCGTCCCTTTCGCGCCGTTGCACCCCCGAACGCCCTGCCCCACCGCGGGGGTTCCCGGCACCGTCGGGGTGAGACGAGGACACGGACTCGGCGGCGTTTCACGTAGCAGGTGAGCGCCAAGGCATGCCAAGGCCACTCCCGCAGGACACCAAGGAATCCATCCAACGAGAGTCCCGCCATGGTTTTACTCCAATCCATGAAGCGGAGCGCAAAGAAGGCCATCCCAAATGGTTGACCTGCTTTTTCTTCACAAGGTCTTCCAGTGTCCTAGAATCGTGATGCCAAGAATGGCAATGCGCTTTGGACATACAAAAGTGGGCTTACTCAGTCGGACATAGTTCATCAGTATCAGTCCGTCAAGCAGGTCATGCCCTCAAACCGGGACTGGCTTGACCTTTCGCCCACTTCAAACCACCTGCATCCAGTCACATTAAAAGACGTGCCAGGTCATGGTCCAGCCGCTGCACCACCTCTAGCGACCCTCCAAGGACACTCCGTTCGATGGAGTTGAACCCAGAAGTGCCAATCAACCACAACTGGCACGGTCCAATCGTAATGACATCTTTTTCTGATCAAGGCCCTGGTGTCTAATTCAAGACCCTGTGAGTGGCGACTCAACATCATTCTGAATGAACCTCCCGTAGGAACCCATGATGCCACCGCTGCTGTTGATGGCGGCCCGTTCAAGGTGCAACCCGCAGTTTGTATGGCAAACGACCACGATGACTCTGACTCTCACCCACTGAAAAAAGTTTATCTAATTATGATAAACTCCAAAAGTCAGAGTCTAATTAAGTTTTTTCGGACTCTTTTTGGAGTGATGCAGCTTCAGATTCCACGCCCGACTCAAACATTGAAAAGCCATCCGCCTCTCATCCACCTCCGTCCTCACGCGATGCTGTGGGGGATCAAACGCCATCAATCAGCAAAAAGGGAGCTCTTTCCACACAAAATACTGTAGTAGAACATCATCCCCACCAGTTCGTAATCCCAGTGCGCGGTAGTGGGGTAGAACCTTCCACCAGGCCTATTGTCCCTGCCGTTTGGACAGCCGACTTGCAAGCAAAGGTGTCTTTGAAACTGTTGAAGTTGGGAGAGAACCGAAGGACAAAAACAAACACGAATAGAAAAGCCACAGCGTATACCGGAAAACAATGTTCAGGGTGTTGATTCTCCATGTCCACGTTACCCTGGATGGGGGGTGTACCTCAAAACTGAACGGCCTCCCCCACCACCTGACAGTCCGTTGCAATAAAGAATGCTTGTGACTTGTGGCAACTTGAACATCTCCCACAGCGATCCCCAAGTCCCCAAGCAAGCCTTGCCTTGCTCCCCAAGGCCAGTTGAATGACCCCAAGTGGAAGTTGGGTCCAATGCTCAGGTCCGATGCTCCACACCAAATGGCTCCCAGCTCCAGCTGGGTGCAGCTGTGCAGCTCCACACCCCCATCAGGTCATGGCTCCAACCCCCCGTGGTTCCAAGCCGCTGCGGGGAACTCGCAGAAGGCTGCACACGCTGCGCTCCTCCACTTTCAGCTCTTGCAAGATCCCCTCCACACCTGCAGCAGTCGGCTGAGGGGGACCATCAGTCGGCGGATTCCCGGCTGAGAAACCCAACAGGAACAGCAAAACGGACGATTCTTTTGACGTGCCCGCACAATGGCTTGAAAAGTAAAACACACGCTTTCTGACAGAAAATACATGAAAGTACGGATGGGAGGGGATGAGTGGAACGCCGCTGGGCACCCAAGTTACTGAGGTTTGAGGAAGTTGAGGTGCCCCGTGGGTCTACCATGTCGACATCGGACACGTCACTGACATCCTCGGAAGGTTGTCTCACAGATTGTACCTGGATGAATGCTCGTCGCAACATCCACTTTGCGACAACAAATCGAAACATCATCACATCATGTCAAAAATACTTCGTCCATGGAAGAATTGTGTCCTCTTTCACTCCAGCTCTTCATTCCTGGTCAAACCCTTTCTCGTGTCGGTCACCCGCCAGTGCCACACCCAGCGCCTTCAGAGTTCAGGGTCCGTTGGGAATCCAGCGTGAACCTCAGGGGCGAAAACGATGCTCCTGTTCACTTTGAGGAGTGTATGTTGATGCTACTCTCCAGTCAATGCTGGTGCGCAGTAGGGCATATGGCAACCTCCACTCCAAAGACAAACAACTATTTGGGGGCTCCAATCAGCATAACTAACCTGTAAACATACGCCGACTACTCCCACCCAAATAAGTCCAAAGGGAGTGACCGCTCGTTGATTGGTATTGATTGCTGGAGCATGCTCTCGGTTGGCACTCTGATTTGTCTTGCCCTGATTGGACCAACCTTTCCTCCTTCGATTGAGCTAATCCCCACCACCGGACGCGAACTCCGCTTGACCTGTGCCTCCGCACGGTCGGGAGTTGGCCTCAGAGGCCGGTTCAGTGTCGGATCTCGAGACACTCAGTTCCTGTACATACCCGAACTTTGGGAGCAGGACTTCCCTGCACTTTCAGACCTACCTGGTCTTTGGAAAGTCAGATAAGGTTGCAGAATGTCTTTGATCTTGAAGGGGGCAGGCTCTTGAAGTGTTTCCTGGGTTTTGATGCGGCCTGGCAGGTATCTGATGGGTGCCATCGACGAGTTAGTTCCTCTATCATTGGGCTGAGACGAGTCAGTCACTTTTTTGTTCGTTTAGGTTCAGTCAAACATGGTCAAACCTGCTGATCAAAATCACAGAGTTTGCGTTGTGGTCCATGGCCAGCCCATCAATGGCCATATCTGTCTAGTACCAACGAAGGAGGAGCCAGTGCAACCAGTGCCAAAACTTAGCAAACAATGTCAGTGAACATCCCGCCATCGGAATGGATGCCATAAACATCCATTAATAAACCAATATCATACAAAATCCATTGCCATTCGACGCAGAATCTCGATGTACTCCAGCCAAAATGTACGCTGCTCGTGCCCATCTTCACAGGGAAAACAGGCAGCTCACACAGGGTCAGGCCCCCTCACGGCCGACGGGCTAGGCAAGCGAAGCTGCGCCTCAGTTTTCGAAGTGGTGTTCGAACTCAATGGTTATAGGTCACGCTTTGACTCATTATATAGCATGGAAGTGGAAAATGGTTTCTGCGATGATGATTTTCCCAGAGGACTTACATATATAGTAGGACGGTTTACTGGGAGATGTACAGATTGCATGATTATTGGCCCCTGGTTATTTGTTTCTGTTGGTATGGTATGTGCTCATGTCTTTGAACAAACGCATTTCCACCAGTGGCAACGGGTGTCCCCTGTACATATGGCGAACACGAGAACTGTCCAAAATGATCAAAGGATGCATTCTGCAATTCACCTTGAAAAAGAACATGTAGGTATCTCAACAAGGTGAACGAAAGATAATGAAAACAGTAAGTCCTCCGGTAGGAACCTACTGACACCTGTTGGCAGATATATAAGGGATGGCCCAGCTAACCCTATTAAAGGGGATGTGGTGGAAGAAGTATGCCAAGTCCCTAGCTGCCCTACGAACAGAAACCAACGCACGAGGCGAGTCGGAGTGCCGAGTGCCCGTGGTTGGAAGTGGAACGAAGGAACGTCGGCACGACGGCACAAGCGAACGATCGAAAGTGAAAGAGCGAAAGGTGCGGAAGCAAAAGCGACAAAAGTACTAAGTATTGTCAGCCACAGGCCAACAAGTACGGCGCCCTGTGGAAAACCGGGCGGACGCACGATTTTCCTTGAGCCAAGTTGTAGCGTGCGGAACAAACTTATTGAATGTTCTTGGTGAACCGCAATGAATGACAACTGTACTAGTACATGTATGGAAATGCTGTTACATGTCAGGGGTTCATAAAAAGTTGACTAAGGTACCCCAATATGTTGCCTTCGAAGTTCAAGGCCCCGCACGATGTCGGGCGCACCTGCCCCATGACTCCGGTGACTGGGGTGAGAAGACTCGGGAAGGGTGGCTTTATGCGGTCCTTGCTGAGTTGAGTTGACGACTGGAACAAAATGTTGTGTTTGTTGTCTAAGTTTATGGATCAACTTAGAAGAATTAGCCCAGCTGGAGACCCCAATAGCAAGATACAAACCGGGACAAAAAGAGAATCTGGAAACAGCTGCTGTTTTCAACACATCGACCATCTCTTCCTTGGACACCATCATCACATAACCGGGACACCATCACAAAATGACTAGGGCACCATCAAAACATGACCGAGACACCGTCACAACATGATTGGGACACCATCACAACATAACCGGGACACCATCACAAGGTGACCGGGACACCAGCATGACATGACAAGGACACCATCACAACATGACCGGGACACTATCACAACATGACCGGGACACCGTCACATGACCCGGACACCATCAAAACATAACCGGCACACCGCCAAAACATGACCAGGACACCATCACAACATGACCGAGACACCATCAAAACATGACCGGGACACCGTCACAACATGAGCGAGACACCATCACAACATGACTGGGACACCGTCACAACATGACTGGGACACAATCACAACATGACCGGGACACCATCACAAGGTGACCGGGACACCAGCATGACATGACGGGAAAACCATCACAAGATGACCAGGACACCATCACAACATGACCGGGACACCGTCACATGACCCGGACACCATCAAAACATAACCGGCACAACGCCAAAACATGACCAGGACACCATCACAACAGGACCGGGACACCATCAAAACATGACCGGGACACCGTCACAACACGACCAGGACACCATCAAAACATGACCGGGACACCATCACAACATGACCGGGACACCATCAAAACATGACCGGGACAC